AAAAAAAAAATCTTTAATTGCATACTATATAATCAATACAATTAATCAAAAAAATAATCAACTTCTGAGAAAAGAAGGTAAGTCGTATGAAAATTATTCAGTATTACGTCGTTAAAATGAAAACAAATCAGAGTATAGTATAAAAACCAAAAAGCAAATATAAACTACTGCAACTTTTATGAGTGAAATGCAAACAGCGAGCTTCAAATAAGTGAAACAAAAGCAAAACAATAAATAGCTGTTGTTCAGTTTTCCGGATCAACACATGTGCAAAACTCTTCATTGCAAAAATCAACAACAACTATTAATCAAAAGACGCAAACAACAGCGACAACAGCAGATGAAAAAAAAAAATTCATTTCAGCCCAAAAATCAAATTATGAAAAATGAAATTATAAGAAATGTTAAAAGTAATGAAAAAACCAGAATAAAAATTTGAAAAATAGAAATAAAAATTAAAACTGTTCTCGAAGACATGCAAATTAAACACAACATTCGTGTCCCTTAAAAAGCCAACTGCAAATTGAAAGCACTGCAGGCTTTTGATTTGCCCAAACGACGTGAAGTTGTGTAAAATTAAACAACTTCCTATCCTCCTCTACACCATCGTCGGGTCTCCTCCCTTTCGAAAAAAAAGACATCTCTAAATTCTTTCGAAAAAATTTTAAGCTGTAATATAAAAGCTTTCAAAACAAAACTATAGGATAAACGAGGCTGGTGTTTAACAAACTATATTACATACCGTTCATCCAAACTGTAAAAAATATAAACTTAGTTAGCCACAAAACCTATAAATCTAATAAATTTCATACCCTAATTTCCACAAACATTTAAAAGAAGCGAGAGGAAAAAAGATAGGAACATTTAAAACCATCTCAAGTAATATCTCCCAAAAAAATAACTCTAGGACTTTAATCACAGCACCGGAATCCACACCCCAAAAATTTCCAGTCCAATGATGAAAACAAGCATAAAAAAATTTTTACATCCACACAGTTCTAGCAGGTTCCACTTTGGAAATTATGCAGAATGCGAGAGAATGGTTCAATGAAAAAAAGGGTCCCATATGCAAAAGTTTGTCTAGGAAACCGGAATTTCCAGACAACCGCTACAAAACACCATACCATTTTACTATGCGCCATATCTATCAATTGGCGAGAAATATGCATTCTCTAATGCTTGAATCTCCAGTGTTCATTCAGTTTGCTAGTCTCTCCCCCAGCAACTTACCAATAACTTTCTCTTGATGACTGAACTTAGAGGCTAAAATATTTGCTAGTCTCAGATAAACACGAACAAAACACGCCATCTTCGAATCCTAACTCCCGCTTCCAATCCCCCTCCTCTAAAAAAAACTCCAGATGCTTTTAGGTCACCATCACTTGACTACCACTGATACTCCACACCAAAATTAAAGTAGACCTTATTTAAAGCGCCACGTTAGATCAAATGGTTTAAAAAATTCCGCTGTAGTAATAGTTCCCTTGCAAATCCACAAGAAATTCTCTGTTTCATTAATCACATACTTCATAAGCCGATACAGGTACTCAGCTAAGCAAAGGATATAAGGCTGTACTCGCGCAACAATAACAGCGGTGCCAATAATATGAAGAGAAATTATGTTCTAATCGGTAGGAAAGCCACCTTAAAAGCTAAGCACCCTACAGTTTCAATGTACCTAAAAGTACAAAAAAGCTATGAATAAGACATGAAAACCATGACACTTATGGTAGGAACCGTTGAAAACCCAACCCCGCAATTACCCTCTCTCTCTTCCCTTGTACCTATCCTTCAAAGCAAATGCAAATCAAAGTAAAAATAAAAGACAAATAAAAGAAATGAAAACTATGAAAAGTAAAATAAAAAGATAAAAACAACCCCTCTCCTCCTCAAAACGCCTGAACAAATTTTAATGTAACGAAAATGTTAGAAATTTTTAAGCGACTCAGATGAGTGTAAAAAATGGCTGCAAATAAACATTGTTTACATAGATAACTAAAAAAACTTTGGTACTGATAACAAACAATGTATCAGATAACAAACGCATAATAAATAATACATAGAGCATAAACTAAAAATAAAAATAAATATGCATTAGATATAAAAAGATCTATTTTTATTTACAATGCATCTTCAAAAAAACTTGGCTTCTTTTAACTACGAGAATATAATTTGGCAAGAAAAATGGTACCTAAAAAACTCTAATACAATCGAAAGACAATAAAGGTAACAAAGAAAAATTAATGCATCATACTCGGTTAAACGTTTCCTAGCAGAAATAAACCTTGTAAACGTAATTTGTGATTAGCTA